TGCTTCTCTGTTGAACTATTCTTATCTAACAACGTGGAAACGACAATGCAATTATGGTAAGTATTTGCAATGAATTTCTAACATTATGTAACAAACACGAAACACAAACTCAACTTCTGTAAATAAAACAAATAAATAAATATAACAACTTTTACCTTTTTTGTCACGGGTGGGATAAGACTGCTTAATAATAACTCATAATATAGATTAAGCACTCACAAAATTTAATATGTGACACAACTTTATTAAATACAGATGAGTTCTACTATATATTTTTCTTACTAAACACTTGAATTATGAATTGCGAATTATTTGACAGTGCATTCAACACAACCTACTTTAAACTCATATATGTATACTGCTTTAATAAGCCCAGAGCATAAATTTTAATCTTGTGCTTTTTTACAAAATAGTACAATTGTTTTAATTTGTTGTTTGTAAAATTATATCACAAAATATTTTAACTCGGACTTCATAAAAATTACCAAAGCCTCTATTTGCGTGAAAAATAAATGAGGGTTTAAGCAGGTTGGATGCTTGTAGGTCATATATGTAGCTTCGATTGGTCACTCCGATGTGAATCAAGTTAGATGCCTGTAATTTAACGTTACTCGACAAGTCGACCCCAATCGCCCCTCCCCAATTAAAATCCTGTATCCGCCACTGGTTGCCTGTTTCAAAAAGCAAGGTCGGCTTAAATAAAGGCTGAAAATTGACAGGTTGTGATTTGAAAATATTTTGCAGACGGTTGCCACCTTGTTACAAAGTTAGATTCAATATAAGCAACAGGTTAAATAAATTACTGCATTGTGATTATAAATCAAAATTGCTTTGAAGAAACTTTATTTCCATTTCCAAACTTTATTTGCATGAAGGAGTGTTGCCACCTGATTTTATAATTAAATTCAAATTGAATTAAGAGTATTAGATGATTTAAATATGTAGCACAATACAAGTGTCCGACGAAAAACGTTTAACGAGGTTTTGGATTAAAAATAATTTGAACAGGATTGCCATATGTTTGAAAGGTCGAATAAAATTAAACTATATGAAATAAGTCAAATTAATTCTTAAGGTATGGGTATAAATAGGCATGGGCTAAAAATGGTTCTTTCTAAACTTTATTTAAGAGGGTTGCCATATGTTTTTGAAATAAAATTCAACTTGAATTAATGGAATTAGATTTACAATTTTAATTTGTACCGCAATATGTTTGTCAGTCGAAAAAGGTTTAACAAGGTTTTGATTTTAAAATATTTTGAATAGGGTTGCCGCTTGTTTTAAAATTAGAATTTAATTAAAGTATGTATAATTTGAATGAAATATTAAAACATGATGTGAAACGAAGTTGGTGAGATATCCTAAGTTTGAATATTAATAATATTAAGGAGGGTTGCCACCTGTTTAAAAAGGTAAACTCAATTTATTTAATAAGTGTAACAAATTATTAAAAATATGGGTATCAAATGAAATGGGTTTAAAAAGGCTTTATTTCTTAACTATATTTAGGAGCGTTTCCAGCTGTTTCAGAAGTCTTAGCTAACTTATGCACAAATCCGAAGACGAAGATAATGCGAAGACGAGCACGAACACGAAGGATACCACCAATAATAAGTAATACAAATTTCTGCACTATGAAAGGAAATAAAAACAAGTTGATAAAGGCGTTGTAATGAATCGTAGTAGTGATACACGTAATGGCATATACATATTTATAAGCTGATAGTGGATCTTCTTCTCTATTGCTAAGTATTAATATTTTGCAATTCATATTGATTTATTAAATTCAATTTAATACAATCAAACCGAATATTTTATAGGCCGTTTTTAACTTGCGCTGGACTGATCCTCTTCATTAATTATATCTAAGTAATCAAAACAATTTGTGCTTTTCTTTATTATTTTATCTGGAAACAAGACCTACTAAAACTATGTATGGTACGGACACATATATTTTTAGGTTAATTTTTACAAAGCATCTCTGATTATAATGATTTTTTCGAAAATTTTCCATTTTTGGTTTAATTTTTCGAGGATTGGATATTCTGTCAATATAACGAAACTATGGATATAACGAAGCATTTGTCTAGCTCCTTCAACCTCGCTAATATGTTTGTATTTGTTTCTTCCTTTTTTTCAGATTATGTGTAACCTATTATGACCTGGAACAACGGGCAATACTGTTCGTACCTAATCTTCGATGACATCGTGAAGCAGATATACCGAAACTAGGTCAGCCTACGACGATCTATGCAGCTGCTTAAAAACCACCTATATTAAATAACATGTGAAGCATTTCTCTATTCACAAATGTCCCCGCAGTAAGATGTACTAACCAAGAATTATTGCCGACCTAGCTTACTCACTTGGTTACGAGAATAGTTTCCGATTTACTTTAAAGTAATAAAGACTTTCAGTCTTGTATTAAACTCGTCGTTGCCTCGCGAAATGATACCCACTCATTCCCATTGGCTTTCTGGTCACTTCGGTAGCTGATCTGCAACCAGTTAATTATTGCCACCTAAGTAAGCAACTGCACGGCGACTATCTGCAACGGCAACGTTGGTTACTCGTCGAAGCGCAGCTGGCATCTGAAAAGCTATTTGCGGTTTTAATTGCCGTTAACAACATCGGTCCATGCCGGAATCGGTCAAATTGTCAAAAGAGATGGAAAGACCATGGATTGAATGCAAATGGAGAAGATGAAGGCGAGTAAAGGGCATTGACTGACAGGCCACATATAAACATACCTCATCTCTTACCCCCACTTCCAGGTGAGGTTACAACTGAACTTAGAAATTGAAGCTTAATGAATGTCCAGATAATCGCAATGATTTCAAATCAAAAAGAAGAAAGCAATTCATATGCGAACACGATTCAGTAAGCTAGATGCGATTATTTAAAGATTATATATTCTTGATATGTATTTAGATATTTATTCCATCGCTGAGCTTTTTTGGTAGAGTGGAAGCTATACATTAGTGTGGGCCGAAAATACGTGTTTTTAGAAATTTGATTGGCAATAGCAAACATATGGTTCATTTGCTCTAAAAACAATCTGTGTGAAAGATGAAAATTTGTTGGTCAATACCTTATCCAAGTACATCAAAGTCCATCAAAAATTAATAAATTCATTAATTAAAACATTTTTTTTTACTAAAATTGAAAGCACCTTCGAAAGTATTAGTCCTACATAATTTGTTGCATGTGCCTTTTTTTGTAGAGAATCGAAGTAATCTAAGAAAACATTTATTTAGCACTTGAACTTTGATGGACTTGGGCGAGCCTAAGATATTGACCAAAAAATGTTCATCTTTCACACAGATTGGTTTTAGAGCATAATGAAACATATTTTTGGCATTGCCAATCAAAATTCTAAAAAAAAAAACGATTTTCGGCCCCCGCTGCTATGCATACCGCACACGGATTTCAAAAGAGAGGAAAAAACACTTTTTTCATCGGCTTTTGCTGAGATAATTTCCAAAGTGACAAATTTTGATTTAGTACACTTTTGAGCAGTGTCAGTGATATGTACTGTACATCCATATGATGTGAACGAAGTAGTAGATGTTCATCATTTCGATTAATCTGACAATATAATTTTTTTAACCTTTGTGGCAAAGGGTTCGAGTGCGTCCAAACTATTGCCGCCCCGACGCCGATACCGACCTCATCTCAGATTCCTGCCTGAGTCCATGACAATAGGCGAACTAAACAGGTCACATAAAATCATGCGCTTTGTGAGGCAGTTAATAATAACCTGCCGTACGCAATGGCAAAGAAAGTTGCAACAAAAGATATTCGTTGCTGAGATTGTTATCATTCATATCCGATGTGGCATCGACAATACAATGTCCATGCAAATGTCCATGTGTGGATGCACAATAAAAGGTGCATTTTTTACTATGACAACAACAATAATAGAAAATCTTTCTCAAGTGAGTGAAATATATGTATTTCAACATGAAGCTCTAGCTTTTGCGGCATTGAGGAGTGTATATGTATATGTATGTACTATGCGTATGTTTACATGCCTTTGCTGGGCAACTATCGCCTGAGTGAAGCTTTACTAAGAAGCATTCTTATTTTTGCTACATCTCTCTGACCCCGGCCAGTAGCCCGCCGCTCACGTCCGATAAGACGCATGAATGCACAAACGCACTCACAGGCACACACAAGCACACACAAGCACACTCGCCACTGCTCACAATGCCAGGTGCGCAATAAACTGCAAAGGTAATAAAATACACCAAAGACGATGGGCCAACACGGACACGGACGGACGGGCACGACTACGAACAACAACACAATAAGATACTTTTGTAAGGATGATATTTTTGCCGGAATTAACTGGAGCCTTCAACTGCACTGCATTTGTGCCATGCCGTGCATCCTATGTCCATTCGCAAGTGTGTGTGTGTGTGTGTGTGTGAGCTGCGCGGGTCCATGATGTCCTGTTGCACTCTCCACATCCTCACATATTTACTACATCTGCGCCCAACTAAGTTTTATTATAGTACATACATCAGTAATAAGGCCTTCGCGTGAGTGTGCATGTCCACAGCAGGATGTGCGTAATGCGTGCCGAATGCAATTTTTCAAAATCGAATCAACATTTTGTAATGTTTCCCAAATCGAATTATTTAGCGAAATTGCAATCGAGAAGACCGTGAAAGCGACGACCATTAACAATAGAAAGCAATAAAGCTCAAAAGATATCCCACAATAGAAAATATGAATTGGAGAAATCCGAGAAAATCGCCTTTTTTATTAAATAAAGGCAGTGGTGACCAGTTAAAATGAGGGGCAGAAGTGATACTTGATACTAAAAGACAGATTGCTAGTACATAAATACACTTAAGTACATAGTTCACAATACATAGATATGTATTTTTTTTTTCTTCTTGATCAATGCAACAAAAGAGGGAAACTCAATTAGGATAAGATTATTAACTTTTAGCCTTTAATATTTGTTAGTAAACATATTTCGGATCACTTACCCTGCTTGGCTCTGCGAGTCACTGGACTGGTTGTCATTAGAGCGCAGCGTATCGGTAATTAAAAATTCTGGAAAAAGAGAATAAATTATGAACTAAATGACAATCTCTTGTACGTTTCTTCAACTGCATTACACATATCGCTCATTTATTTCGACAGTGTCATAAGCCAAAAGAATACAAACTCAAATTAAGTATGCCGATATGACCTCCACCTGTGCTTCTATGCTGTCTAAAAAATCCATAGCTGTACCAATTACCAGCAGCTAAGTGGAACCAAATATGCATTCGTTTTTATTTCGGGAATACATGTATCGAGCCCTAACCGCCAAAAAGATGTAAGCGACATTTTTTCCAAAATTTTGTTTTCGATAAAGAAATGTTCCTTAAACAACTAAATGCATTTCTGCATCAAAAACAAATTTCGCTTACTCTTTTTGGCGGTTAGGCCTCGATATGCAAATTCACAACTTTAAAGCAGGTTTTCTCGAGGTTTTAGTTTCATAAGTTTTGACAGTATCGAAATAAAAGAGCCATATACATACATATGTAACTATAAGCAGACTTGCAGAAAAAAAAGCGTCAATTGATAAAAAGAACCAGTTAGCTTTATGCGGAATTGCTATAAAATATACAACTTATAGTTAACTACAGAAAGCTTACTTGAAATTAGTTGAAAAGTAATGCAGGAGTCATGCAGACATAATCTGGAGATATTTTTTCTTAAATAAGTTTCTATTTAAACCGACCGTACGTGACGAAGAGTCACACCCTACGAGAGGTGCTCCTGCTTTTACTGTATATGGCGGATCTAGAGAGAAGAACTCGATAAAATCCATAAGTTCAGGTGTTGATCGGACCGTGCCTATGGACTGAATGGCACTACGTTAGTGATGTCTTTTAACGGTGTACTTCAGTGACGTGGCGCCGCCTGGTTTTAGCCAGCCTTTTCTCTCTTCCCGCATTACTCGTGGGATCCTTTTGGAAGACACTTTTAAAAATAAAATCGACTCTTACTCGCTGCCCAATGAACTTGTCTGACAAATGGCGGCTGCAGCGGACGCGATGGATTCAACTCCAAACGTCCAAAGTGGCGAGCCAGGCTAAAACGACACTACAAAGGACGAAAAGGGCGCAAGCCCAAAAGGCTTAAGTAGTGAAAAAACGATTTTGAATGTCGAGATGGTCAACTTAGACTTGGTGCCTAATAACCAGGAAGTCCAAATACCAACGAGCGACTAGGAACTCTTGCTCGTGTTCCAGCCAGAGGAAGCAAGTACTGCGGTTAAAAAGTTATCTGGAGCGGGCAAGAAATGGTATACATTTTACTGCTCCAAAGGCTAAGGGGGAAAATGAAGCTCGCGCCGCTGTTGGGTGGCTGTGGACAAAGGGATCGCTCTGATACCACCAACTCTCGAGCTTCACACAACTCCCCAAAAGGAAGGCAGGTCCGTCCGATAAAAGGCCCCACACGGGACCAATGTCTGCAAAGACGTAGGTGACCTTCGCCGACGTCACAAAGGGTACAGAAAATGGGGCGGTCGCTGGCAAGGGTAATATAGTGGCACTTCTGCCAACCGATTAACCCAAGTTGCCATGGTCTCTGCAGCAACTGCAAGCAGTTCAGGCATCAACTCTGGATGCGGTGAGACAGCAGCGAAAGGGCTCCACGAAGCCCAAATTTACCTACTGGACTATCCGCCCGGGATGGATGACTGGCTACGAAATGTAGCTTCCACTTTACGGCCGTGGAAGGGCGCGGTACTTAAGGTTGCTGACCCCAGCGAAGTGTCCAGACTAATGGTTTATGTGGGGTAATTTTCAGAACCAGGTTACTATATCCTTAGCCTTTTCGAGGGCCAGAACTCTGACTTACGGGTAGGTAGCTGGAGGGCACTCAACAGGGTACAGAGAGGCCCCAACACTGAGCTAACTCTTGCTGTCGACCCCTTTTCTTCTGAAACTCTGGACATGCAAGGCTCGCTGATCAGCTGTGGCAGTATCCTCCTCCAATACCAATGTCGCAGGAGCAGCGGACAACGAGCTACCTTGGGACAGCCTACAGATCGGCCCTAACTGCTTACAACAGTGAGCTCAGAAGATCCAAAAGGGACACAAGGCGTGAGTACTGCGGGGGAATATCTTCCCTTCCGGCTGCTCAGCGCCTACATAAGGCCCTCAAATTGGATTATCGGTGTGAATATAACGAAAAGAGGCCTAGCGAGCTGGTCCTGATGGTATTTACCGTTGCCTGCCTGATGTACTCCTGCTTACGGTAACCACCTTAACGTAATCCTTTTACATCTTTCTTTTTACTTTGGGAAGAATATTTTACTCGTTTTCTAAAAGCGCGCCACGTAACGCGCACCTAAAAACGCAAGGAAATATGTCATAAAGGCTTTTGTTAAGTTTTTGCGCATTAAGCCAAAAAATAAACAACTTAAAAAATACCTACAACATTTTCTTCGATGATGCCGTTCTCTCAGCGAACGAGTATCACAGACTACATAATGATTTATAACTCAAAGTTGGTTAATATTAGTAGGTTAGCAACATTTAATTTCCTTCTTAAGCTTCGATTTTAAACGGGAAATGCTAATAACGCAAAAATCATAATTAGTTTTAAACTTTATTCACATGGCTTACTATTTAATGCTTTCCAAGCGACCAATCATTAGAAGCTTAAAACTATACTCACAGGAGCTATAAACATTAACATGTCTATAAAGGTATTCACACTATTATTTTCTACTGAAATATTTCCTTTTGTAAGCTCTTGCGACCAATAAAAGAAAGTATTCCCAAATAACATTATTATCAGTGCTATCTTTGCACGTTATCCTGCAAGCTTTAAAGCTCCATTCAATTAAACCACCCTCTCTGCCATAATATTATAGCTAAAGTCTGCTTATGACCAACAGAAAGCTCTACGAAACTCACCCTTCTGCAATGGTTGCTGTTGGTGCAGCTGATTTGTTGGTATGAACTCTTCGTGCTTTTGGTCGCCTTTGTCTTCGTACTTGAGCTTATAATCTGAATGCTTTCGCAGCGACATCAAAAGCGACTGTGTTCGTGGTGGAATTTCCGGTGGAGCTGGCTCTGGTGGTGGTTCAGACTCACCACCGGAAGCGGTGAACTCGTCTAAATCCATAACAACCGAGCTTTCCGCTGTAGATTGCGCGTACTCCCGCAGCTCTTTTTGAATTTGCTGCAATTTTAGCTTTTCCCGCTCACTACGACTGGCAATGGCTGCCGCCACAGCACCAGCCGCCGCTGCCGAGGAGGTGGCGTTGCTGTTCGAAGAAGCACCGCTACTTGAGGAGGTCATTCCGCCAGTGGCGCCGCTACCTCCACTGTTCCCGCGATTCGCCGAACGTCCGCTTTTCGTGCGTAGAGTGCGCGCCGCGCCGCCACTTATGCTGTCGCGGGCGCTCGGACTGAGGCTGCTTGCGGTCGAGCTGGTGGGCATTAAAAAGGAGGAATTCAGTGCACTTAGACCACCAGCGCCACTGCTGCTGGCGGTAAGAGCTGCTGCGCCTTCCACAACCACTTGTAAACGATCCAACATTGCTGCGCTACCGGAGTACGACAGTCGGTCGCTCATCGAGTCTGAGTTGGACTGGGAATCATATTTTGCGTTTAGGAAAGGATTTGTGCTGCGCGTCGTATTGGTGCAGTTTGGCAGGAGTGCCGCGTTCGGAGACGGCTGATTCGTCTGATACTTATTGGTGGCAGTGATTTGTGCCGCCGCCGTTGTGGCAGCGAGAACAGTCTGTTGTTTTATGGGCGAGCACAGCCCGGTGTTTTGCTGTTGCATTTGCAGGTGGAACGCCGAAGTGGAACTGTGGTCTCGCAATGCGCTCGGATACTCATTAAGCAGAGATGTAGGAACAGCTGGGTTTTCACAATCTGAGCCATAGCGGTCTAAGTCTGTAAAGAAGAAAAATTAACGGAAAGTTTATTGTAGGTTATAAAAATGCACAGAGAATGTGGCAGATTAAAAAACTGTTTTGCAAAAAAAACAAATTTGATAACCGGCTGAAATGACCCTGATTCTGCCAAATAAAGGCTCCTGAGCCCATTTTTGATACCGTGTATAAATACGTTTATCTAGCTAACGCATATGTATATTGGTACATAAATTTTTGGCCTCGAGCGATTCGTAAATTACGACTTAGGTCACTTAACTGAGTTCAATGAAGCCCATTTAAAATCACCTCCAACCGCATATGCCGCAAATTCTCATCAGCCCCCCAAATTTATATACTCGTCCATTCCACTTGGCTACTTAGTAGCATCCAAGCGACTGGACGTCCATTTCACTAATCCGCTTAAATTCAGCTTAAGACTGTCCATTACTAATTGAATAAGATATTTCGCCATTTCAGCCAGTTCCCAAATCCACTCACACTTTGCCCCCACGGCACCACCCATGGGCAGTAGCTAATCTATGTATGTATGTATGTACTCACTTGCCAATTGCTGACTCTGCAACAACAGCTGCGCCAAAAGCTGCGTATCGAAGGCCGAAGACTGAACGGTATTCTGGTACTCATCCTCGCTACTGCTGTAGCCATGGTGGCTGTGCCATTCGGCCGAGCGCTGACGTCGCATCTGGTCGCCGCCGCCGCCGCCGAAGTAGTACTCGCTGGCACTGCCCCCGCGCTTGCGGCCAATTGTGCCCGAATGGCTGGACATGCTGCCAATGCTGGTGTAAGTCTGCTGCTTAATGCTGCGGTATGTGTAACTACCGTGCCACTGGTGTGTCCTTAACTGCCCTCACTGATTTAAATACGTTTACTGCGCGGCAACTGGAAATGACTAAATTTGATTTATATCTCTGTCTTTCCACATTTGCTCCAACTGACCACAGCCGTTGCCATATTCTCGTCCACTTTTCCCTGCGCTCTTCTCCGTCTCCGTCTCTGTGGTGTCGCTTGCCACGTGGCGGAGCTGGAAAGATAAGATAGGAGAAACGAACAGTTAATATGGGCAGGAGCAGTGTAGCAGTGTAAATAATACTTGTATTCGTAAATGGCACAGAGATATCAAGAGATTTATTTCAGCAATGTTTCAAACTTCTTCATTTAACTGTATTATAATATAATTTGGAATTTGCTTGCATTAATCCCGCGATCCCGAAAAATTTGAAATATAGAATGAATAGTAAGAACTTGTTTATGAATTTGAAATATGATTTTTGTAAAATGCCGTTTTGCCCATGATAAAAATACAGTAAAGTAGAACCGCTGAGAGGAACAAAGATGGAAAAGGTTATTGCAAAACAGCGGCCGCCCACAAAACACCAAGTACTTCTCGATATCCATGCCTCATAAAAAAGGTAACGGAAAATATTAGGCTATGGCATAGACGTTATGCGATACAACCAAAAGGAACTTCAAACTCGATGTAGAGAAAATTATACGAAGAAAATAGAGTCAAAATTTGACATGCATATCTTGTTCTGTTCTTGTGTGCTGGAAGAGTGGTATAAACATACTCATAATCGATGGCAAAATATTAGAACTTATTTCTAAAACTATAAATTCATTGCAAATAGCGTTTTCCTTTCCCGAAATAATGTTGCATTTATTCTGCCCTGCGCCGGGGCTGTCAAGTTTTCGTATTCATTTCTCAGCATCTTCACATTCATATTGCGCGCTCCTCCTTTAAAATGTTGCACTCTGATAATGTTGCCATATAAGAAGGTGGCATTATTTTCGGGAAAAGAAAACGCCTTAAGTAACTATAGACTCTATTTGGCCTACTAATTAAAAGCTCCAAGGATCAAGAAAGAGCATTTCACTTTTTATGAATTAGATATACAAACATAGAAGGCAAAATATTTAAATTCACTTCCGAATCCGACGCCCCTATCGAAGCTTTGTTGTGTGTGTGTGTGTTCGTGTGTATTTGCTCTCGTGGCACAACACAGGTGGCACGAATGGCAACAGCTCGCCTGTGTCCGAAATTAAAATGAATATTAATTTTTTAGTAAGGATATGCCGACAGGCGACAGGCAGACCAACGTGGACAGGAGAAGCACTTAGCACTTAAGTGGTCGCTTTTAATTTGAGCAGTCCATGCTGTTCGTATACCCCCACCATAGCCGCCCAGGATGTTAGAAGCTGGTCGGTGTGCCGAAAGAGCTCGGAAGGTAAATGTTTCATTTTTGCAGAGGTTGGGGCGTACAACGTTTTGAACATTTTGTATTATTGCTGAATATAAATATTGAGTTGTTAAAATTTATGGCCATCGCTGAAGGTTAATTTTGGATGTGGTCAATTCATCAAGTCGCAGCTGTGAACGTTTGATATTTCTGGCATATTCGAGGGGCTTATGTTGGTTAGTGGATTTAATTTTTAGGATGCTGAGGAAAACATATTTTTACAAACCTTATACCAAATTGTTTAAGACATGTGAGGCCAATAAAGTTTCTATATTTTAAGATTGCATACACATACATATCTGACTTAGCGAATCAAATTTATTTTAATTTTCTGCGTTTTTTTTTGCAGCACACTATAATCACTCAAAGCAGAAAACACACTTCCTTTATTATACATTGCTTTGAATAATAACATCGTTTTTCAATTCCTAGCGTTAAATTAGTTTTTCAAACACTTTTACGCTAAACTTGAAATTAAGTTCATTACATTTTCATTAGAATGTTCCACCAGCCCAGCATAGCGCGACAGCCGGCAGAAGAAAGTAGCGGCGAGGCGCAAAAATTAAGATGTTAAACTGAGCGCACTGCTATAACTTCACGCCTGGCAAAGGGGTTTTGTCGCGCTCGACGCCTGGACAAGCTCAAGTTGCAAGCCACATAAATTATTCGAAGCGATTTTTGCTTCAGAGCAGCGCTGCCATCCCACAGTTGGCTGGTTGTATGTTAGCTGGTGTCACATGTACGACGACAAGTTGGAAGACGGCAGCGCGCGTAACGCCGTGGCTGTGCGGCAAAGTGTCGCGATGTGCCGCCTAAATGGCAAAATACAATTATGATGTTGTTAGAGCAAAGGCGTGCTCTGGCTCATCCCGTTCGGCTGAGCTCGATGGTGGCGTTACTGGCTTGTCACCACGATATAGTGTTGCGCCATAATTTCTTTAATGGCCGACATATGCCAAGCGATTAATTTAGAATAGCGAGCGGCCGCGAACCATTTGCTACTTTTTGTCTCTTGTGCTTTGCTGTTCGTCTTTCATATACCGAATTTTCTATTTTTCTAGGTAGTTTAATTTTACCGTTTCTTTATAGGCAGTTTATTAATTTTCAAGTTTGAAAACAAATTGAACTGAGCAGATTTAAGCTGAAGCTCCATAGCAGGTTTTTCAGGCGTTGTGGCTTTCGACGGTCAAACCTGAAAAGTTGATTTAGTAAATGATGTAGTGATAGCACTTTCCGTGTTTTAACAGAATTTACACAAAATTTGGCAATAAAAAAGGAAAAATATTTATTACATGAACAAAAGAATCATCTATCACTTATATCGAACATGCAGTTTTTAGGTGTTATTCCTACACTTTCGGGTATTTGTCAACAAAATAAACTATGTAACTTGCCAGTAAATTATTTACCATGTATTTAAAAAAAAAAAAACATCTATTTAAGTTTCAAAAAGAGAAAATACATAATTGCTTAATTAATCTTCATCCTGATTAAACAAAAGACGTGATTAATTAGATTCTGATTAATCAGATCCAGAGTAATTACGGTTTACTCCTAAAAAATTAATTGAAATCTGGGTAATTTTGCTCATTTATTTCGAGTTTGCTTTCAAAGCAAATTAAAATTTTTATCAATCAGACAATAAAGTTTAGGTACAGCGAAATTTTTACAATACGGGCAACTATTTT